CATGATTTTAAGACAGATGACAGGCAGGAATCGTCTGTGAGGGAACCAGATGAAATGAAAACCAAAACCACATCGTATTTCTTAGAGTTTTTTGGCCTAGAGTCTAGTTTGTCCTGCTGAGCCCAGAACCTGCTGTTCCCAAGACTCCTTCCGCATTCCCCTGGGCCCAAGTTTTGTGCTCCAGGGAAATTTCAAAAGCTCTGTGACAGGGAAATGTCTCAGCTCCATGGAGCTCTCACAGGAAATAATGCCACTGGCAACAGCTTGGAGAAAACAATTTTTTCTTAGTCTAAAAGTTACCCCAGGCCAAGCGCGGTGGCTCACGCCTGTAATCCCAGCACTTTGGGAGGCTGAGGCGGGCGGATCACAAGGTCAGGAGATCGAGACCATCCTGGCTAACACGGTGAAACCCCGTCTCTACTAAAAATATAAAAAAATTAGCCAGGCGCAATGGTGGGCGCCTGTAGTCCCAGCCACTCAGGAGGCTGAGGCAGGAGAATAGCGTGAACCTGGGAGGCGGAGTTTGCAGTGAGCAGAGATCGCACCACTGCAGTCTGGCCTGGGTGAAAGAGTGAGACTTCCGTCTCAAAAATAAATAAATAAATAAATAAATGAATAAAATAAAATAAAAGTTACCCCAGAATTAAAATACTCAGGACCCCAGAAGAACAAAATTGTTAGACAGAAGACACAAGACAATCGTGGCTGTGGTTGTAGGAACCACCCAACAGCCTAGAAAACTTTATTAAGACTTTATTGCTTATGCAGTTAAAGAGACACTGATTGAGCTACAGGTTTCCTGTACCTGGTCTCAGGTCACTCTGTGCAGAGCTTCCCCAGGCTGTTGGGAGCTGGGAGACTGCTAGGCAGGGGCAGGACCCAGAGTGGGAAGCATGGTACCTCCCAGGAGCCTCAGAGTGGGTAGCAGGCTTCAAGACAGCCCTCAGAGTGAACAGAGAGGTCAGGAGTGTCGGCTTAAGCCAGGGCCCAGGGGCTACATTCCCTGAGATGAGTCAAGCCCAGCCCTCTCTGGGGTTTCCAGAACAAAGGCTAGGTGTGGGGAGCAGCACTGTGGAAAGGGCAGGGAGCATGTCTCTAGGCATTGCTGGAACTGGGGGAAATTGTCAAAGTGGCTGGGGTAATGGTTGTATAATCTGTGGCAACAGGGCCTTCTTGCATGAAAGTGGGTATCTCTTATGGAAGAGTCATGCACCATGGCTGGGCTGGAGCGGCCAGCTCCAGTGGCTACTGTAGGCAGTAGCCACTGTTGGGTGACTAAAGTAGGCAAGCAAAGTCACCTGTTGCCCACACCCCACTTTCATCAACTCTGTTCATGCAGGACAAGGCAGGGAGCTGCCCATCAAGGATGGGGTCACTTCTCAGGCCTAGGTATTGATGTTACCTTAATTCTTTAGTCTGGAAGGACTTGGTTGGGGTGGGGGATGGTAAGCATTTCCTTAACCAAACTCACTCTTCACATCTCCTAGGGGTACCCCTTCATCCACCGATCTCCAGAGAATAACCTGGCTGCTCTCACTTCTCCAGCTTTTCTCACAAGGCACTTGTTACAGGGCTGCTGATGGGAGGGGGAGGAAGGCTGGGAGAGGGGTCTGGTGGAGGCGCCCAATCTACAGGGTCCGGAATCAGGGTGGAAGTTGTCAGGGACTAGCGGCTACCATAGTACAGGCGCATGGCCAGGCCAATGAGTAATGTGGCCAGGAAGAAGGCGGCTGTGAGCTGCAGCCGTAGCAGGACTGCTGAGAGCACGGCGTTGACCACCAGTGAGCAGGACACCACAAAGAGGCGTGTGATGCTGCTGCCGTGCTTCATGACAGCGGACATGAGCAGTCCATTTAGTGCCTGGCTCAGCACTACGAGTGCTGCCCATCCTGAGAAACCTTCCAGAAGGCCTGGGCCGGGGCCGCCGCCAGCATGCAGACCTAGATTCAGGAGCACACCAAAAGTGTAGAGGAAGAGGTTCTGAAGTGCCAGGGGCAGCCGCTGTCGCTTCATGAGCAGCTCTGTGTACACTGAAGACAAGCCTGAGATGAGGCAGTACAGGATGAGGAGCAGGAGGCCCAGCGGAGTGATATGCAGGGGCATGGGGCTTGCAGCAGCTGCTGGAGAGGGACTGGGAACGGTGTTCCCAGGAACTTGAAGGCCGCCTGCTGCACAGCAGGCCCCCGCAGCCATCAGCAGCAGCAGCGCTAACACCTGACGCACAGAGAGGCGGTGCCGGAGGCAGAGGCAGTAGAGCACAGCCGTGCTTCCAATCTTGAGATTGCTCAGCACTTGGTAGGTGCTGGGGTCCATGTAACGCTGAAGATAGATCACTAGGTTGTTGTTAGCGCCATACAGCAAGGCTGATACTGCGAAGGGAGCAGCCTGGCGCCAGGGTGGGGCCCCCTGGGGCCATGCTTGCCAGCCTACCAGAAGGGAGAAGGCGCATAACAGTAGCTTGGTCAGCTCAGTCAGCAGCACGGCTGAGGAGGGTCGGAAGGGCACTCGGCCGTCCACATGGCACAGTGCCAGCAATGGGGCGTGGGCACCATACATGGCAGTGGATAGGAGTAGCATCAGGGTCCAGCGGGCCTGCCTGGGATGGCCCAGGCCCGGCATACCCCCATCCTCTACACTCATACCCACACCAGACCCTGGGTGACTAAGGGGCAGCAGGGATTGCAACACGTTTGGGGAAAATCAAGTTACGGAGCCAGCTACCAGGAAGGAGGAGCTGTGGAACATTGCCAGAGAGAATACTGAGGATCAGAGGCATCTACCAACCCCACAGTCAGGGCTTGAAGAATAAGGGGCTGGTAGTCCTTGAAGTCACAATCTTGGGGCCAGTCCCATGGAGTTAGGAAGGGGAAGAAGGAATCCAGGGTGCAGGCTGAGGAACTGCTGTTCACAATCTGCAGGAAGGGAGGCAAGGATGAAGGTGGCAGGAAAGTTGGAGATAGCAAATGGATGACAGCTGGGGAATTCAGATAAAGTGTCTCCAGCTGAAGGCTGAGCTGCTCATCCTGCCTCTTCCATGGCACCTAGAGCTAGTCCGGCCCCTTGCGTAGCGACTGCAAATAGTCCCTTAATGTCTTCTCCACGTTGGGCACAGCATATGCCTGAGCCGCATAGATGCCAGTGCAGGTGCCCACAGCAAAGCCCAATACTGCTGATGCCCTCAGTTTGGCCACCACATAGCCAGCCAGGAATCCCTTGAGGAACGGAGAAGACAACAGCGAGCCATCCTGCAGAGAAAAATGCAGAATGAAACTTAGCTAGGCTCTTCCCTGACTCTGTCCAGGGGCTACTCAAGCTGGGATTAGAGCATTCCACCACCAACTCCTCCTCACCCTGGACAACCGTGGTATTTTCTCCAGATTTTTCCCAAGGTTCTGGGGCCAGAAAAAGAACCTAGCAGTTCTGATCACACAATCTCAGAACCCTGGGGTCAGAAAGCTCCAACCATAGAACTCCACTGCCACACAAGGTCAGAGATGCTCCTAGCCCTGCAGGTTTCTCCAGCTTCATTTCCTAGCATGCTCCCCAACTACTGTAGCCAAATGGACCTCCTTTCACCCCTCATGTTTATAATGCTACTTCCTATCACGAGGCTTTTACATATGCTGTTCTATCTGCCTGGAATGTTCTTTCCTTCCCTCTTCACCTACTTAACCTCTACTTAAGATATTAGTTCATGTGTCATTCAGAAAAATTGTCCTTAGGATGCCTGAGAACAGGCCCTCAATAATCATTTGCTGAATAAATCTCTACCATTCATTTAACACTCTCAAGAGCATGTTGGGCAATAAAGCCTAAGGCAGGGGTGGGGTGGGACAGTCCTTACCTGGCCCACTCCACTGTTGACTTCGTCTTCCACACGCCGCTGCAGGCGTTCCAGCTGGTTCTTGAGAAATGCCAGGTCCTTAAGCTTAGGCAGAGAATCCTAGGACAAGCGAGACTCCAGCAGTCTGACTCAGCCCCACCCCTTGCTCAATTCCATCAGAAGCTGGGAATTGGGAGGGGATGGGGTGAGCCAGAAAGACCTTTTCCTATAAAAGCTTCCTGAGATGGCAGTGGCAACAGAAGAAAAGCATTGAAAAGCACAGAATTCAAATGAGGGCCAGGAAGGGACTGACAGATGGAATCTGGACCAGTAACTTACATCAACCTCAACAAGAATTTTACATAGCAAGCAGTATGTAGGAAAGGCAGGAGGGACAGCTAGGGACTGGTCCATCAGGAAAGCACTACTGACTCCATTATGAGCTCGAAAGTCGTGACCAGTCTGTCTTGGCTACTATGTTCTAGTGCCTGACATTTAGTAAATGTGTGGGTAATGCTGAGCTTGTAGACCAATGGTGAGTAATGGACGGAGGCAGTTTCCTGGACAATTTGATTGTCTTGGTTCCTGGATGGGCTTCACTTCTTTCTTCCCAAGGCCATCCCAAACTGAATATGAGTGACTGGATGTGAGTGAGAATGACAAAAAAGACTGTCGGCAAGTGCGTAAGTAAATGGACTGAGTGATTTTGATCTCATGTAGGTATGAAATTCAGAGTGTATGCAAGGGAGTGTTTGAACGAGGGTGGTGTGAGTGTCCGTGTAATTGGAAACATCGTGTCACTGGGAAGAAAATTTCGGGAAGTAGGGAATAGGGTAAAGTGAGGAGTGTTTAAGGGTGAATGTTTTTGAGTCTGTGCTAGTAAGTGGGGTTCGTGATGGTTCCCAGGAGGGTACATCTGGGGGATCCACGGCTCCTCCCACCTCGCCGAATGCTCTCCCCACACCACTCCACACTGTTGAGGCAGCTGACAGCAGCCTCAGAAGAAACAAGGGACATCCTCACTCCTGAGCCGCTCCAGAGTCGCTTCTCCCCGGAACTAAAAAGGTCAAGGAGAAGACCACGCCCGGCTGCAGATCACCCCCACGGCCACTCACCTTGTCATCCGCCATCTTCCCAGCCGAACTTGTTGCGCAGGCGCATCCCCGCCTCCCTCATGCAGACTGCCCCGGCCATCTTTACTGAGGGCGAAGGCACTTCCGGAGCATTTTTGGAACGGGTGAGGCCCTTTCCTAGTGGCCGAGCCCGCCTCTCCCAGATACTTCCACGTGACCCCCTCCGGTCGAGTCTCAGGCTGAGTGTGAGCGCACTCACTACCCGGGAGCGATGATCTCACTCGTGCGCGAGTGCGCGCGGCGCATGTCCGGTGTGTCGGTCTTCTGGCGCCTGATGAGTTCATAGTCGTGCGGTGTCAGCGGTTTCGGTGGCGTTCTTGGGTCACCCCCAGACCCACACACGGAAATACGCACCCATTCGGGGATCCAGACGACCGTTTACACGCACCACACCTGGGCGGGCTGTGAGGCTTAGGCCCTCCTCCGGGACCGGCCAGTGTCCCGCCCTGTGTCCCGCCCCGTATTTGTGCGGCGCCAGCTGGCCCGGCAGCCTGCGGCGCAGAGAGGCTGGGCTTGCAGGCGCAGTAGCTCCGGAGGTCGCGCTGGACTGAGAGTGCGGGCCGGCAGAGGCTGGCGGGGAGCGGCCGGGGTTATGCTGGGCAAGGATTACATGCTGGCCATCATTCTGGTCAACTGCGATGGTGTGCACGGAGGGGCCCGGTGGGAAGACCAGGAGCTTAGGGAGGACGAGGGAATCCGAAAGACCAGTCTGGGGCTCAAAGACAGGGTCGGGGATACCTCTCTGTGTAGGGACCAGGGGGCGAATGAACCCGATCTTTACATGTGATGTCTTCAAGATTGAGGAGCTTGGATCTTCAGCCTAAGAACTGACCCAGTTTGGGGATGGAGAGAGGATTATGACAGCATGTTATTCTGAACTCACAAATAATATGCTCCCTCCTCTCTAATCCGGTGTTCCTGTAGATGACTTGTGGGGGGACCAGAGTCTGGAGGGGGAGCCTGGCTTGCCTCCTGGCTGGAGGAAGATCCACGATGCTGCAGGTACTTACTATTGGCATGTACCCAGCGGTAGCACCCAGTGGCAGCGCCCAGCCTGGGAACTAGGAGATGCGGAGGACCCAGGCACGGTAGGTGGAATGTGAGGAGGAGGTCTGAGCCCGTGTGTGGACCCAGGTCTGCTGTTACACTGACTAACCCCCACTCTACAGGGAACGGAGGGGATTTGGGGACTGCGGCCCCTCAAAGGGAGATCCTTCTCCAGCCTGGAGAGCTCACTGGACCGGAGGTAACGAGTGGCCCAGGCAAAATGAAAGGCTTGGGGTTCCATGGTGTTCAAAAACGCAGCTGGACCCATGGTCTGCTTTCCACCCCAGGTTTTGGATTCTGTCACATGTTTTGGGTTCTGTTGTGTTCTTGGCTCTGTCCCAAGTTCTTAACTGTCAGTATTTTAAGTTTTATCCCTTGTTCTAAACTCTTGTTTGTAGCTACATGTTTTTCATATTCTTGGTCCTAACTTATGTTCTAGACCCTGGCCATTAGGTCCTCTGTTCTAGGATCTCTTGTCCCACTTTGGGGTTCTGGTCCACATATTGAACCCTGCTCCATTTTGTGACTTTTATTTTTTATTTTTTGAGATGGAGTCTCACTCTGTCACCCAGGTTGGAGTGCAGTGGCGCGATCTTGGCTCACTGCAACCTCCGCCTCCCAGGTTCAAGTGATTCTCCTCCCTTAGCCTCCTGAGTAGCTGAAACTACAGGCACATGCCACCATGCCCGGCTAATTTTTGTATTTTTAGTAGAGATGGGGTTTCACCATGTTGGCCAGGATGGTCTCGATACCCTGACCTCGTGATCCACCCATCTCAGCCTCCCAAAGTGCTGGGGTTACAGGCGTGAGCCACTGCACCCAGCCTTGTGACTTTTATTCTATGTCCTGTGTCTGGGTTGTGTCCTGAATTTTCCCTCAAATTCTAAGTCACACTTTATGTTATGTTAATATGTCCTGGGCTCTACCCTGCTCTGTTTTTATATTTCTGGTGCTATATTCTGGGTCTTGTTCCTCATCCTGTGCTTATCAATTAGTCTAGGCCTCACCAGTGTCCCTACTGTAGGAAATGTGGTCCTCTTAACACCTCTGCTCTGTTTCAGTAACTCTCTGTCCTGGTGTGGTGAGGAATCCTACATCCAGAACATGGAGCCAGGGGCTAAGGTAGTGACTTGGACCTGAGGGCATTGGGAGGTCCCAAGGGAAAGACAAGGGTGGGATTGGACTGAGCAGAGGTGATCAAGGGTGAAGATAAGGAGTTTGTATTGTGGCACCTGCCACCCTGCTCCATCCTTATTCATTCCTGTCCCTTTCCCCAACTTGTCAGTGCTTTGCAGTACGCTCTCTGGGCTGGGTAGAGGTACCTGAAGAGGACCTGGCACCGGGGAAGAGCAGTATTGCAGTCAATAACTGCATCCAGCAGCTGGCCCAGACCCGCAGCGGGAGCCAGCCTCTAGATGGTGCCTGGGGTGAGGTGAGTTGGCTCGGCCCCTCAATGGGTTGGGCCCAGGGCCCAGCAGAGGTAGCTATCCCTGAATTGCCTATTTCTCATGGCAGTGACCTTTATCTGAGCTCTGAGCTGACCTCTGCCCTTGGCAGGGCCAGAACATGCTGATGATCCTGAAGAAGGATGCCATGAGCCTAGTGAATCCCCTGGACCACAGTCTGATCCACTGCCAGCCTCTGGTGCACATCCGTGTGTGGGGCGTGGGGAGCTCCAAGGGCCGGTGAGGATGCCTACATCCCCCAAGCGAGAGCTCGTCTCCCTCCCTGCTGCAGGCTGTGATCCCCACTGATGCTGATCACCAGTACTTGAACCCTGGACACAGATCCTCTGATGTGGACCCAGGACTGCTTCCCCTGCCTGGTCCAGCCCTGGTTGGGGAGGGTGGGCCCAGCTCAGCAGGGACAAATGGGGGAGAGTCCAAGAGACTGGGCTGATTCCCTTCTGTGCTCCCACATGCTTCCGGAACAGTGACAGGTGAGTGAAAACCAGGTATCCTGAGCCCCATTCCTGACCTTCCTACTCCATCCCTGCCATATCCCTAGCCTGACTTTCCAGCCTCCTGCAGGCTCCTGCCTCTAACCAGCCTCTACCCCAGCCCCATCTCTGCCCCTGCTAGGGACTTCGCTTTTGTGGCAAGTGACAAAGATAGCTGTATGCTCAAGTGCCATGTGTTTCGCTGTGATGTCCCTGCCAAGGTCATTGCCAGTGCCCTACATGGGCTTTGTGCCCAGGTAAGGGTCAGGGGTGGGGCAGGGAATGTGGGTAAGGGGTTGGGTCTGAAGCTTCCAAGGTAGTTGGGGTGGTATTGGCCCTTTTACCCTAATTCCCCTCTCTCCCTGTGGCTCATGCTGGCTTCATTGTGTTTTAGATCTTGTCAGAGCGAGTAGGGGTCAGTGTTGATGCCTCTTGCTGCTCTCCAGACCCCATCTCCCCTGAAGACCTGCCACGGCAAGGTATGGGAAGGGGAGTCCCGCATTGCTGCATTGGGCTGCTTTGGTGCCGCTTTGTGGGTAGGCAATTTCTGGTTATTTAGTACTTCTGTGGATAAATTTCTGAGGGTCTGGTCTCAGGGATCCCAAGCCACGAGTTGGAGGAGCATCTGTGAGCCTTTTCTTCTATCAGCACCAGCTCTGACCTGAGTCCTGGCCATTCAGAAGGGTGGGGAAAATGGTAATTGAGAGAGCTGCCAGGCTGACTTGGTGTGTATATTTCAGTGGAGCTGCTGGATGCAGTAAGCCAAGCTGCTCAGAAGTATGAAGCACTGTACATGGGGACACTGCCAGTCACCAAAGCCATGGGTGAGGACTGAGGGGGCTGCATATGGTGGGCTGTGTGAGGCAAGGGGAAGGTGAGTGAAGTGGGGCCCACTACCATTTCTCAGAGTCCTCCCATGGCCTTGTTATGGCGCCTGGGATCTACCAGCCTTCCCAACTCAGAATTCTAAGCCTTGCCCCAACTATCCTATTCCCTATCTCTGAATCCCAAGTCAGTGAGAGGGGGCTAGACACTCCCTGCAGACTCTTTCTTTTACAACTGGGAGACATGCTGGGCATGTTCCCCCAGGCATGGATGTGCTGAACGAGGCCATTGGTACCCTCACCACCAGGGGGGACCGGAATGCCTGGGTCCCAACCATGCTCAGTGTGTCTGACTCTCTCATGACTGCACACCCCATTCAGGTATCAGAAGAGGGTGAAGTTGGGGGCTTTGGAGGGGTGAGCAGGGATGCTGAGGGGTCACTGCTTGCTGCCGGAAAAGTTCAGTGGGTCTGGCCAGTGCTTGGCCCCCTAGTGACTAGGCCTGGTGTGGGCAGGCAGAGGCCAGTACAGAGGAGGAGCCATTGTGGCAGTGCCCTGTGCGCCTTGTGACATTTATTGGTGTTGGCCGCGACCCACACACCTTTGGCCTCATCGCTGACCTGGGTCGTCAGAGCTTCCAGTGCGCAGCCTTCTGGTGCCAGCCCCATGCAGGGGGACTCTCCGAAGCTGTGCAGGCTGCCTGTATGGTGAGTCATGGGTGGGAATGGGTGGGTGGGATTGCCCTGCAGCTGCTCTCCGCTGTTTACTGGGGCTCAGGGTTGGCAGCCTCTTTAGAGATCACAAACCTGGGCTGATTCTGCATCATTAATGTTTTGGCCCTCATGTTGTTTTTAGTAAGTTTTAATTAGTTGCCAATACTTAAAGGCCAGGACATTTCACATAATAATCGCTATTCTTGTTTTTCTTAAAATATCAAGAGCTCTGGCACTCAGTTCACACGTGTAAATGTGAACATGCAGCCAGAGTTGTGCAGAAGCTGTGCCCTAAAGAGTTGGCATTGTTCCTGTTTGTCCCATTTAGGTTTATTTCCTGGCATCTGTGGGCATTTGACTGTGGGTTGCTTACACTTTGTTAGTTCAGTTTGCTCATTCATTCAACAAATATGAGTGCCTACAGGGTCCCAGGCACCATAGTTGACCCTGAGAATTTAGTGTTATAGAGGGCACAGCCCTTGCCTTCGCAAAACACTTAGGATAGTGCCAAGATAGACCAGAAATAAGTTGTACACTGCTGGTTAATGGAAGAGGTGGCCCCTTTAGGGGTCAGGAAGGCTACCTGTAAGAGGTGATAGAAAACTGACAGTCCAAGAGGGAAGTTAGCCAGGTGAAGTGGAGTGGGCAGGTGTACCAAGCACAGGGAACCTTAGCTGTGAAGGTGAGAGATATTAGTGGATGAGAGTAGCTGAAAGAATCTAGTGTATCTGGCATGCAAGGGGGATGTAGTAAGAGATGAGATCAGAGAGAATGACAGAAGCCAGGTTATGGGGGACCTCATAGGTCAGGGTGATGAGTTTATCTGGAGGCACTAGGAATCACTGAAGCCCCACAGTGAAGTCAGGGTTATGTATTAGGATGATCACTTAAGCTATAGTATGGGTAAAGATTTGGAGGACATGAGAGGAGGTAGGAAGGCCAATTAGGACGCCTTTGAGCCATTCAGATGAGATGACTGGGAGCAGTTGCATTGGGGCTGGAGTTTGAGTTGTACACCCTTACCCTCAACTAGGGAATCTGCTTTGCCAGGGACTAGTCCCCACCAGTGAGAGATGGAAAAGAGCCAACATAGTGGTACATGTAATGAAGAGTTCAGGCTCTGCAATCAGAGAACTAGGTTTGAATGCCATTTCTGCCTTTCTCTGGCTGTGTGACCTTGGGCAAGTCATATACTCTCTGAATCTCAATTTCCTCATTTGCAAAACAGGGATAATAACCCCTCATAAATAACTGAATTATACAAAACACTTAGCACTTAGCCCGCCCTCCTTAAGTGTCTGATACAGTTTTATGATTTTGTTATTGAGCTACCTGGGAATGCTCTAGAAACTCCACATGTGGCCGACTACCAACCTTGTTACCAGACAGAAGCTTTGGCCAGTTCCCTGTCCAGCAGAAGCTTTCAGGGAGTCTAGGGGCAGAAAGTAGCTGGATCCTCACATTCCCCTTCTCCCTAGGTTCAGTACCAGAAGTGTCTTGTGGCCTCTGCAGCTCGAGGCAAGGCCTGGGGTGCCCAGGCCCGTGCCCGCCTGCGGCTCAAGCGGACCAGCTCCATGGATTCCCCAGGAGGTCCCCTGCCCCTCCCCCTGCTCAAAGGAGGGGTTGGCGGTGCAGGGGCAACCCCTCGAAAGCGGGGTGTCTTCTCTTTTCTTGATGCCTTCCGGCTGAAACCCTCTCTGCTCCACATGCCCTAAACTTATCTGGGAAGGCTGGGGAAGGAGGCTCTGGGTCCATGCCTAACTCTGTACCCTTTTATTCCTCAAGGCCTATAGCCTGTCACCCCTTGAAGCCTTCCTTCTCTGCCTGTCCCTCTGATCCTTGTCCACTGTCTGTTTATTGCCCAATTTATTGTTTATATGGATGACTGGAAGGCACTGCACCACAATGTAGGACCCTGACTTCCCTTTCCTTGGGTCCTTGTGTTCCTTGCCCCTGTCCAACCCTGGACAGTTGGCTCTACCTCAGTAACACTTTATAGCAAAATCAGTGCAAATAAAAATCCCTCAGTGACCTCACTGGATGTGAGTATATTGGGCCTGGGACAGGGCTGGGGGCTAACAGCCTGTGTGAGATGAGCGTCTTTGTGTCTGTGCTTGATGTTGGTGGCTCTCTGTAGTCACATGACAGCATGGGTGTGATGGAGATCTGACTTCATTCATTCAACAAACATATTTTCTAAGGAGTTCCCTGTGCCACGCACTAAGCTGGGCACTGGGGATGTAATAAAATAGGCAAAGTCCCACCTTCTGAGACTGTCAGGGAAATGAACAAGAGTCAAATTTAAGACAGAAGATGTGATGTAATATAATTAGGAAATCTTAGAGGGTTGTAGGGTTGTGGGAGCTCAAGTAAGACACTTAACCTGGCCTGAGACATTCCAGAAGGCCTCCTGAAGAACTGACATCTGAGCTGAGAATTGAAGGAAGATGAGTACTAGTTAGTGAGGCTACCTGAGGTGAATGTGGAGATTGTGCAGGGCAATGCAAGAGAAGACTGTAGAAGTCAACCTGGCTAGATCGCAGCGGGGCGTATGTGGGGCAGGAGCTTCTGGTTGTTCGAACTTGCTCCTGAGAGGATGAGGGCTCCTAGAGCGCTGGCTCCTGGACAACAACTTCCTTTGGTGCCTTGTGACCGGGCCCTGATGGTTCATTAGATGGAGCCTTCGAGTCTTAGGGAGTTGCCGCAGGGTCCCCACAGCAGCTCCCGACGGCTGTGAACGATCATCCATCCTCCAGGGCTCCCGGCAACCCGCCTGGCCTGGGACGCGGCTCAACTGTGAGCGGCCGTCCCGGAAATGACGCGCTGCCCCGCTGGCCAAGCGGAAATGGAGATGGCTGAGCTGTACGTGAAGCCGGGTGAGCGCGGCCGACTGGCTAGGGCACTAGGTCCTCGCCCCGGCCTAGGCTGGGGGCGGTTGCGGCGCGGAGTCTGGACCCTCTGTCTCCCCCAGCCCCAATATGAACTATCAGTGGAGTTCCGGGCTCGCTTCACACATCCCTCGCCTCCGCAGGCAACAAGGAGCGCGGCTGGAACGACCCGCCGCAGTTCTCATACGGGCTGCAGACCCAGGCCAGCGGACACAGGCGCTCGCTGCTCACCAAGAGGGTCGCCGCACCCCAGGATGGATCCCCCAGAGGTGCGTGGGGCCCCTGTGCTCGGAGACCGACGGGGAATGGGGTGGGGGGGGGGTGTAAGAGATAAGCCTGTCTGGAAGGCTTTTTTCTCTTCCCCGAGGGCTCCTTATGGAGAGAGATTATGGGGCTCCAGTAAAGGTCTCAGGGCAGGTGCTTTTCCGAGCCCCTTCTCTGCTGCTCAGGTTAATAAATGGTGTATTGATTTAAAAAGACTCTATTTTTTCATCCTAGGTGATCTCATCCAGACCCGTGGCTTTTAATATAGTTTTAATCCTCAAGTTATTTATCTTTGTTAACCTATACCTCTTCCCAGAACCTCATAGTGGCATATTCATTTGTCCATTCTGTCTTCACTTAGGTATATGATAATCATCAGACTTCACGGTTTTTCATTCATTTAATCACTATTATTTACTGAGCACTTACTATAAGTCAGGCACTGTTTAAGGGCCAACTAGACAGCAGTGAGAAAAAAGATCTCTGCTTTCAGGGAGTCCATGTTGCAGCACTGGAGATGGGCTGAAAGATTAAATAGTGGTGATGGTGCTACAGAAAAATAAGCGGTGATGTAATATGACTGGGTAACGAGGTGTCTGAGGGGCTGATATTTAAGCCACACAAAAAGCATTCCAAGCAAAAGAAACAGCTGCAAAAGGAATAAGTTTGGCCAATTCAGAGACTGATGAAATACAGAGTGGCTGGCTACAGCCACTTTGTAAACCAGGATAGTGGGCTTTGTAAACCAGGATAAGGAGTTTGTATTTTAGTCTACATAAAGTTGGAAGCCATTGAAAAGTTTAAAGTAGAGGAGAGCCACCTTTCCCCCTGAGAATTTTCCAGGCCATTAAATGGGCTGTGCTGTGGCCGCCATAAAGGGGCTCAGGTTTGGTTCTTTCAGTGGCCCTCCATTCTCCACACCCTTTTTGCTGTAGAAGAAGAATGATACAAGGCTTGGTTTCTTAAACTCAGCAGTATTGATAGGTTGTGGCCAGATAATTCTTTGTGAGGGACTTTCCTGTGTGTTTATCAGCAACTCTGACTTCTATCCAATAGATGCCAGTAGCATCCACCCAGTTGTGATAGCCAAAAGTGTTTCCAGACATTTGCCCTGTGGGCACTATCTTCCTAGCTTGAGAACCAGGGACTGATTGACATTTTGAAAAGATCATGGTCTGCTGTGTGAAAACAAGATTTTAGGGGAGTGGAAAGACAAATTACAGCTATTATGGTAATATAGGCAAGATTTAATGATTTGCATAAGGGTACTAGGAGTTAGATGGATATGAGATGGAGAAGGTCAGTAGGAATGAGTAGATTAGGAGGAATCCATATAACTAAAATTTTTTGCTTGATATAGGAAGACTGGGGGATAGTGGTTTTGGGGAGGGGGAGTTTTTTTGGGGGGCCCATGTGAAATTTAGGCTGTTATTTTTCGGGAAAAGTCTAAGCCAGAATTAGAGAAATAAGTCACCATTACAAGGATGGTATTTGATGTCATGCACTTGAATAAGGCCAGGGACAGAGCCGTAGGGCACTCTAGCATTTCAAGGTTGAGAAGGAATCATCAAAGGAGATTGGGAAGTGGCCAAAGAAGAAAATAGAAGAGGCCAGGCGCAGTGAGTCACGCCTGTAATCCCAGCACTTTGGGAGGCCAAGGCGGGCAGATCACCTGAGATAAGAAGTTCAAGACCAGCCTGGCCAACATGGTGAAACCCTGTCTACTAAAAATATAAAAATTAGTGGGGCCTGTAATACCAGCTACTTGGGAGGGTGAGGCAGGAGAAACGCTTGAACCTGGGAGGCGGAGGTTGCGGTCAGCCGACATCACGCCACTGCACTCCAGCCTGGGCGACAGAGCGAGATTCTGTGACAAAACCAAAACCAAAATAAAAAAATAGGAGAGTGTAGGCCGGGCGCGGTGGCTCAAGCCTGTAATCCCAGCACTTTGGGATGCCGAGATGGGTGGATCACGAGGTCAGGAGATCGAGACCATCCTGGCTAACACGGTGAAACCCC